TTGATCTATCGATACACAACAGAAAAGTTTTGCGAAAGCAAAAAATACTTTTTTTTACCAAAAGCTCTAGGTGGCGTCGCCATAATAGAACAGTACCCAAGTTTTTTTGACTTTTTCTAATGTAAATACTTACTATTGGCAGAAACAAATACGTGAATAAATGATGGATGTCTTGACTGACAAAGTTCATTCCAATCTGAGATATGCTACATTGACTGTAATCCGACATGATTTTCGGAAAGGTCTTATACCCTTCGTTTTTCCCTACTCGTGCTAAATATTGTAGGAAGGTTATTATCAACAAAGCGAAAATCGCGTAGTTTTCGAGCATCAAATTGTACTGTTAAGGAGATGGAAGAAAGATATGATGCTCAGCGAATTCCTAGAGCGAGGAAGACCCACTGGGCTACTCTTGCACGCGATAGGGAAAAATGGAAGAGTTGCTGGTACCCGCTCGAGTCACTCGACGATCAACGGGACGACAGGTGATACAGGTGATACTGTTACAAGCCCACTCCAATTTTTGTTCAAAGTGGATGTGGATAATCTTTACCAAGTGGTGTCGTCTTATTGAGCCCATGTTCCTACTTCGATACCAGTATGACTGAAAAATGGTGGAAAATTAGATGTGAAGTGTCCAGATATATTACGAAGCATTTTTATAGGCTAATAAGTAACGCTTCGTCTATTCATTGCTTTTGTGATCGCATCTGTATAAACGAGTTAAGACTTTAACCATGTCGATGTGCATCAATCAAATCTATTTGAAGCCTATCTGGTCTCCAAAAAGATACTCGATACATGTGGCGCAGTGGTTACAGATGCCCTGCGTCGCACACAAGAGCGATGGTTCGATCTCGATCTCATGGCTCTGCAAGCCATCCATCCCTGCGGTGTCTGTAAATTGCTATCATAATGGTCTTAGACTTGTCTGGGAGAATAAATAGCACTGATTCGATACAGCGGGACGCCACCGCAAGTCATTATAAAGGCCGCATATGCATCCGATCACCTCAAACGAAGTTGAAAATTGAGGAGGATTTTGGGCACATCCCTGAGGAATTAGTCAACATCGAGGGCTTTATCTTTTATCCTTTATCTGGTCTCATCGATTCCCTTCGTTCAGTGGCTTTCCAATCTTATCGGTGCTCGTGCGAAAATGTGTAAGTGATAGGCAGCTGACAAGTTGCCGCTGTTATGTAGGTTTTGCTTTCTGTACGACAATAGGATGTGTGACTGTTTATGGCGACATACACACTCCCTATTGCCTTCAATTCATGACTCCCAAACTCTCGGCTTTTAGAGCAATAACTTAAAAAATCTAAATAAACAGATCAAATCCTTTAGCAACCTCGTATAATATAATATGCAACGGTATTTTTTCAGAATTCGGCTAACAATCCGAATAAATCTCGATCAATGATGACTTCTGAGTTTCGTTTTTGAACTTTGCGGTTTGCTTTTCTTTTCACGAAAAATGCAGTTCCCACCGAGGCGACGACCCGTTGCAATGTTAATTCTGAAACAACACCGATATTGGTTTGACGAAACTTTCAATCTATTCTCATGTGCTCTATTTCATTATGATATTTCCCATCGATAGACGCTAGCGTCCAATGTTGAGTTTGATGTTAGTGGTATTAAGTGAACCATTGATTGCTTTCTCATTATGGTGAACTGAGACAGCCTCTCACCCTGCTCGTTCCATTCTAATCCATGATTCTCAACGTTATATCTTTCAGACGCTATTCTAGAATCAGTCTCAATGTTAAAATCTCCAGTGATAAACTTAAACAATTTACAATCTTCTTTGTAAGACCTTCCTAATTCTACAAAGAGCGCTCAACTTCTTCTTTGTCATTTTGATATATTAGTGACGAAAGAACTTCGAAGCTGACATTGATTGATAGCTTTTCAAACGCAAGCGTCCGAATCGGTGTTAATTTAATTGAAAGGATTGATGTTGAAGCCGAACTCGTGCTGGCGGGTGCTTCAACACCGTGGATATCTCCACTGTTGTGTACTCCAAAAAACATTTGTTTTTCGATATTATAGAGTTGAAGTAAAAAGAGTTTAGCGCAGACTAATTTTCGATAGTGTGCCATGCATTCAACTTCACATCATTAGAGATAATGAGCTACATATCTGGCCTATGCATTGACTTGCAGTGGATAGTCGATGTGCGGGTAATTGTAGCTGTTCTTCAAACAAGTCTGGTAGCAATTTGCCAAACTAATTGGAACAGAAAGCTTCATGAGCCTGAGTCTTGCGATCAAACGAGTAGTCATGTGTGAATTGCAAGGAAGTTCTAACTGCATAACAAACGCCTTTTTCGATATCACAGGCAAGGCCGAATGTTCGGCGCCTCCTCGTCTCAGTTAGTGTGTCGTACCTCACTCTTTTGAACTATATCATTAGATCCTCAGTAAAGGACTCAGATGTAAGTGAATGAGCATGATAGGTGCAGATAGTAACCTCAATTTTTCCAGATTCAAGCAGTCTTGATAGCTCTGGTGATTTCGCTTTTCGCTAAACACCAGATCTAATATTGTCAAGTCGGCATATTTCTTGTAACCTGGAGATTTATACTCATTTATTTTAAAGTACTAGTCATTTAGATACGAATGTAGAGATTGTCAAGTTTCCAGTAAAAGGGCTTACTAAACACATAGAAAAATTCCTATTGTCTCCCGGAGAAGAACCAAAGTCTATTTATTGAAGCCAGCTCCTAGCCACCTCTCATTCAATTCATATGACTGCGTCCTCTTAACCGAACTGATTGATTAGATACACTCTGCGTTCACACATTCACGAACCTGTCTGATACTTGAATATCAAAGGTATGTGTCAAATCAGCATAGCAGAATTACTAGTTCATTTCGTTAATCACCTTGTGCCTCAGGGAAACAAAAGTTCGGTTTTGATTCATGTTTAGACCCGCCGTCTCCACGTAGGAATGCGCCACTTAGTCTTGAATTAACCGCTCATTGGAGGAAATCCGTAGACGAAAGAAAATTAAATTTGTTTGCTCGCAATGACTATCAGTTGAAGAGAGCGTTGCAGTAATAGACAAAAAAGTTTGGAACAAATATTTGGAATTGCCTCCTTTTGGCCTGTAAACTTTACGAATTCGCTTGCGAAAATTTTTAACGATGCTCCCACACGTTTCCACCGTAGTTTCGTCACAAGTGCGTACTGGAGTCGTTTTAAGTCCGTCTACGCTAATATAGCGACTAGCCAAGACTTTTTCCTCCACTATGGACCACACGGAACAATCTATTGGGTTTAGATCCAGCGGACTAGACGAGCAAATGTCTTTGACCAAAAAACCTAGGAACAGCTTCTGACAGATGGTAATCGTTGAGTGAACCGTAATCGTAAGAGCTCAGTCTTACTGAAGCGTCAATCCGTCGGTGCCAGAATGTTGAGAACTCTAAGGCTTCAGTACGCCCCGTTAAACTGCTATTTATAGCTGGCAGCGTTGATTTTGACATTTATGTTGATGAATACCAACGGCGTCTTTCCGGTGGTGCAAAATCGGCCCGGACCATCACCAAGGCCGGAAAATGACTGCGATACATGGTTTTGTTATTGGGAACTTCTGGTGGCCCTTCCTATAAAGTTGGCTTAAATCTGGCGATTTTGGAGTGGTTCGACCGTAAATATCCTCTCATCCGTAAAAAACACCTTCGATAAACGAGCAACAGTTATTAAACAAGTCATCGAACAAGTTTTTGAAAACCGTTTTTCTTTCATTTTTTCTCTCTAGAAAGCAAGCAGGAGCGACCTTGTAACTGCGCAGCTCTAGCTTATTTCTGACAATGCTTCGGGTGCTTCATTCGCCGATCGCGACCTTTCCGAGCCTTCTGCCAACAAATGCTCCACATCTCATTGAACATGGCAGCGGATCTTTCAAATGTTTTCCGGAATAGACGAGGTGGTTGAGCTATCTTTTCAAGAACCATCCTCATTCCCTCCAGTCTCTCGCAACGTTTCACGCCTCTGTAGACACTTGCTGATTTGAAATCAGTCGATTTTAACATTGTGGCTCTTTCATTCCCGCCTTGTGCAACTCAACTACTGCGATACGTTGATTTTCACGGTTCATTATTCGAGTGCACCTGGAAATAAACAAAAAAAGTAAAATGAACTCTAAATCAAAACTGAACAATGAATTTAATAAGGTTGTCAGCATTAATAAAAAAATTGTTTTGTCAATTCTAAAATTAGCAAAATGCAAAATTACCATAACTTTTCTCGCACCCTGTATCTGTCAGAGGTCATCATTTTCTCGAGTTCCTTCGCAAGAGAAAATAAATGCGATTATGACGAATAAGAAACGATTCTCTGTCATCGATCGACATTTATAAATGTTTTTGTCCTTTTTTGGAGAAACTGGTACGTCAACAAGTACGTTAACCTTGTGTGGTAATGTTATTTCTGCTATGGTGACGTTTCGACGTGTTTCATAGTAACCTGAGCACTATTTAACACAGCAAAATTTGGATTCGCTTATGACAGAAGCCACTTTTTCGAGTTAGCATAAATGTTTAGGATCTTTTCAAAATCATTGGAGAGATATGCAAAGTGGCGGTATTATGATTTTATAAGTCTTCCATGGTACTTTTCTCAGAGCTTCTGTCTTTCTGTTTTTGGAGACTTTACATAAATGTAAGGTTCAATGAAAAAAATGCATAAGATGTATTGCATACTTTCCATAAAATACATTTTTCATTAAAATAAAAGTAATATCAACACGTTAACCCTTTCTAAAAGTGAACTGTAATGTAAGTACTTTTTTTCTGAATTTACACCACACATCGAATTCAATATCTTTTGTGCAACTCAGGATTCGAGTTGTCTCTTCCGTAAATGTTTCATAAAGAATCACTACATACTTTAGAAGCTCACTTATTCCCAATCTGTGGCGCCAGCTCCCGGTACTGTTGTACTCTATATTTCTGTTCATGTTACCAACTTTGAGTGGTGAGCGGAAATACGACCTCAGGTGGGAGTCGAACCCGAGTTTCATGCATACAGGGGACTTGTGCTACCACTACACCACCGAGGTGCATTCGCACCACCACTCATTCTTCAACATCTCTATATTAGCTGTCAGCTACCAACATTTGAGAGGTTTGGTCGGGTGTGCGATTTCGCTTAAAAACTTAGTTGAGCCGACAACCATTGTGATAGGTTATAGTCCAATTTTCTAGTGTTTTTTACTGCATTTTTCGCAATTCTATGATATTACGTACTCTACAGATCGTATTTTGATCACCACTTAATTCTCTTAGGTATATGTGTAACATCATAAAACTGCGAAAAATGCAGTAAAAACACTAGAAATTTGGAGTGTTTCTAATCTTTCAGATTCTTAAGTGTTTATTGATAAGTACTGCTCAAAATTCACTTGCCTGTCATATACGCTCTTCTCAATTTTTTTTTCAATAACATGAGAAACAGGTGTTGACCAGATTTCAGGGCTTCCTTATTCACTTGACTCCATTTATGGCATCCTAGAATTGATTGAATGTCTATTTGGTCTCTACAGTAACCTGAAGTTTCCCATCAATTTATTATGTCAATGCTACTTGAAATTAGCATTGTAGATCTTTAGATCACTTGCGTAGATCAAGATTGTTGACCAGATGTCTGTACGAATTCGTGACAAGTGTCATTGAGAAATGTGAGCCATTTTTTCTATCTTTCTTATTTCAAGTCACATTTTGTAAGAAAATAATGGAGACGTTTTTCTTTTCTTTTTGAAACTATTGCCTATTATGTTTTAACACCTTGGCGACCGTCGAATTAGAACGCCTGTATCTACGTGTTCCCGTCTATATCTTCGATGTGAACCGAAAAACGTAGGGTCACTGAAATTCTACGATTATCGTTCCATTGCTGACATTCCAGATGGAAAAAAGAACAGAATTTGGGGCTAGAAAACCCATTCGACTGACCACTTTGAGGAAGTGTTCAATCGTGCACAAGCACTTCATTTTCGCGCGATCGTGATTGTTCAAATACAGTAAAACTTACTAGTTTCTGATCAAATGTTGTTGAATGTGATTTACTACTATAAAATTCAAGAGCAATGGAGACTGTTCAATTACTAGACGATATCAATCCTATGAAATTTTTGAAGCAATATCAATTTATGTGATTTTTAAGTATACTGCACACATTTTTATTCATCGTTGTCAATTCTAAAATCCTCGTTTATATCAATATTCGCTTTTGTATTGAAGTCGATGATAAGCGTAAGACCGGTTCGTATTCACTCATCGAAATATCAGGTATCAGAGAAAAAAAGAACAGATTCGGTAATTGTTATTTATTTCATTTTACATCGCCCTTCAACACAAGTATCTGTGGCCTAACATTTGTTGCACTCTATTCTCTGAGGAATGTCGTGGAATGCTAATCAAGACGACTCTCCAAATTTCATATTTTTTTAGACACCTTATTAATCTGTATTTCCTTTGCTTCTTTTCTTCACTGTGCAGATCTCCTTAATTCTAGCATTCAATTCGTTCTTCTTCTTCTTGAATGTTGTGAAATATACTGATGGGGCATGTCTCCTTCCAGTCTCGAGGATAGCTTCGTTGAAGAGTTCCATAAGGCGTTCGTTATTGACTATCAGGGAGTGTTGGGGACAGGGACCTAATCCGCGTGCCTCGTCGAGCATCACATCGACTCGGACACGGCGTCCTTCTAATTTCATAATAAAGGATGAAAAGGATAAAGCTCTCGGCGTTGATCAATCCCTCAGTGATACGCCATGCATTCGTCTTCACTTTCTAACTTCGTTTAAGGTGAATGAATGCATATCTGGCCTTACAAACTCGCTGTGGCCTCCCGCTGAACCGAGTCACTGCTGCTTATCCTCCCAGACAAGTCTGAGACCAGTCTGGTAGCAAGTTACCAACCCCGGAGGGATGGATGGCTTGGTGAGCCATGAGCGCGAGATCGAACCATTGACTTCGTGTGCGACGCAGAGCACCTCTAACCACTGCGCCTCATGCGCTCTAAACTCGTTTTATATAACCGCTATAAGCGGTTAAATAGAACGAGTACAATGGTTATATATTTAGAACAAACATCATACCACCGCTAAAAGCGCTCAAATAAAACGTCATTTGATCTTTGATACCCAATATCTGTCAGCGTGACTGGGTTCAATGTCGAGATCGACCACCCGTGCCAGGCCCTTGACGGCTGGTAGATAGTTTCGCTGAAGCGTAGAAGGAGCGATGTGCAAAATGGGCGTCAGTAGTGTAACGGATAGAGCACACATTCCAGGAAAGAATGAGGTGCGGGTTCTAGTCCCGGCTGACGCGAAAGTTTTGCACATTGCTCTACATCAATGCATCTTATATGTGAATGATCAGGTGACAAGGCGTCGCATAAAGGCGTCTTGATTATGTCATCTGATTTCAAGTTTTTTTTTGTGTGGTATATCGATACGTTTCTCCTTTAGTGCTGTCGATTTCATAGAGGTTCAAAATGATCGATGGGTTGGGTAGTAGAACGCCGATGTGCACTGACCGATCAGTGTTCGCTTATTGTAATTGAGTTTATTGGTTTCTTTTGACTGACAGAAGTATTCTGTAGGTTCCTGACGCTGTTGAAATATAAGTGAATTTAACTTATTTCTTTATTTTCGCTACCGAGAATTGCTAAGGAAGGTATTTCTCTTTAGAAATCTTAAATGGCTTCTTAAAAACGTATAAAATTTGACTCACAGCAAGGTATGGCCACAGAAATGCCAAAATACGGAAAAAAAAAATCTCGGAAAGTGATGACTAGAAACTGCTTAAAGCACGGCTGAGTGAGAAGAAGATCGAGGATTTGGATGGTGCATTGCGAAAGTGCGTGCTCCAGAAAGGGTAGCCATAGTTCGAGTCTCCTCCACATACAACAGGTCACAAGTTTTTCACACACCTCTGCATTCTTTTGGTTATAATTTACATTGTACTCTGCCTAAAAATTGAATCAGATCCTCAATTTAGTATTCATTGGATAACGAAATGTTTTCCACGCTCATCTAATGCTCTTGTCCTAGGTGTCCCATGTTATTTCTCTAAACCAGAATTGGAGTTTTCAACTACTTATACCGCTCGTGAATTGATGAAAAATTCTACAAACCATAAGCGAAGTTCTTCTCATTTTTATTTTGACTAGCCGGCCTTCACGTCTTTGTGCGAATCCGAGCACTTCTTGCTTTCGTTCTGGTTCCTTGCATTCATCATCGTCGAAGGCCTTCGAAGTTTTTGCCTCTGGGTGCGGTTGCGGCTTGAGGATTTTCGTGTTTTTTATTGAAGATGTTGAATGGTGGTCTGATCCATCCTCCCTCAAGTCATGAGTTAGCAATTCTAGGTGTTTCCAAGTGGATTAGAGTCAAAATTAGATATTTTTTTTCCTACCCAATTTCCTGCTTCCTGAGAGATGAGAACCATACTGATCTACCTCGGATCGAGCTAAAATGATGCTTGTAATGGACGATATCACTACCACTCCGCTGGCGCTCAACCCTTTCTTATGATATCAAGATATTGTGCTTTTCGTTTCTACTCGAACAACCTCTTTGTTTAGCATTTCTATCGTTATTTTTGATACTGGAGATACCGCGAATAAAAAATCCGAATTAGTGGATTTCATGAAGCATATAGAAAGGAATCTACTGTAAACATTTTCTAGGTGATTTGCTTTGAATGTAATATTACCATAATGAGCCGATTTAGTAGTTTAGATGCTGAGGCCATCGAATATTTCATTATTCGACTTGTTCAATTTATTTGGATCGCATTTTCTAGCAGCGATTGGTGATGGTCATGCATCAGAGTTTTTTTTCTCTCCAGATGGTGACACACGTGCACAAAGAAGTGTTTCACTATAATCGCTGTGTTTCTGATTCAAATACTTGTTAAATAATATATTTTGGCCGATGAATAGAGTTCTTGTGTATCAGTGAGAGTATATTCTCATATCGTGGTCCCAGAAGAGTGTATATGGTTTCTCATCCAATGTCCATCATTTGTGTAAAAGTACAAGCCTGAGGTGATGAAATTATCGTCGCAAATATAAATTCACACCTTTATTTTCATGGTCCAGCGAATAAAGTATCAATATTGAGGTGTAAAAGTAAAATGTAAACCAAATATGAAGTAAAGAAATCGGAATATTGTTAATAGATATATATAATATAATATATATATATACTATAGTCTATAGGCATGTCCTTCAATGTAAAAAACTGTTTATTGGGTCTCTGATTTTTTATATAATTTGATCTCGCCATCTCAACGCTCAAACACTACTTCAAATCCACATGCTGTTCCTCTTCCGCCACTCAGGAAGGCCTAAGGATTTACTTCCAAAATCGTATGCTACTTGATAACCTTTTTCTTCTGTGAATGTCGTCTCATGGCAAACAAGTTGGCTCTCCTACGGTTCTAGAGTTGTTCCACTGGGGTCTTCGCAAGGCCTCACTGGAGGCGCTCGCCAGCGTTTAGGCATCGGAGAGAGTTTTTCTCTCGTAAGACTGATAACAATTCGAATCTCAGGGGAATGGGAGCTTGATTAACGTGAGATGAAGTGAAAACAACGGCCATACATGCTTTACACCAAGTCTCTAGTCACTGGTCTTTTCAACGCGCGTCTTGAAGGTATTAATTTTGAGACATTTTGTTGCGTTTTATGGATTTTACACACCTGACCCTTAGGAGAGTATGAAGACGCTGATAACATCAAATGCTGGTGTCTTTTTGAAATGTTGAGAATCAGCCGACTAGATGACCTAAATACTCCGTAAACTGTTTTTTCTCCTAATTTTGATTTTTTTTTTTTTTTTGGCCAATTTTTTCTTCTACGTCTTCCTTTGCATTCAATGAGTTCAATGCCGTTCAGATTTTTGGAATCGTACACCATAACGACCTCACAATGATCTTCTCCGTGACATTGTCATTGGTTTTTTCACTTGATAATACAATGTTTTTGAGGTGAGAAATCGACTATTAATTGTTTTTTCATGGGGCTGGTCAAGGCGACGATTTGAACGAAAAACGG